ATTCCACTTGAAATAATCACATATTGGCAACTTAATGGAAAATGGGCTTGGAAACACTTTGGAATGTGTTAGGTACCAATATCAAGGCCTTTTATGACTATGGTTTATGGTTTCAGGTAACAAGCCACAGTTGGAGAATAGAATTACCATATATAGCAGGGGTGGCATTTCAGTGGTATGCATGCGTTAGAAAGGACTCAGTTTGAGACTCTTAAAATCTGTTAGTCTAGGAGAGTATATTACATTTCAGGAAAGGATTATGCTGGTCTAAAGTATCCATAGTGGACCCAGAAGCCTAGGTGAATTTAGTAAGTATGTAATTTAGTAAAGCCATCCACTATACCTTTCATTTATCGATTTATTCCTTTTATAACCCTTAATTAATTAGAGTTCTAATTAATTAGTCCTCTATGTTATTATTAGCTTAAAGGAATAAGGCAAAATAATAGATCTTGATTAAAATCCAATGATTCCAGAAATTCATAACTAAAATAGATGCTCTTGGTGCCACACCCATATTATCTTGGCACTTTTATTCTCACACCTGTCAGACTAATTTCCAACACCCAGTACCTGAATCTTTTTCTGGCCACCAAACTCCTGTCTGCCCATATGCAGTAGGCTAAAGACCTGGAAATGAATTCCACCTAAAAACGGTCCGAAACCAATCTCCTGCAGATGAGATAACACTGAAATCCACGTTCACAGATTCTAAAGTTCCCTATCAGGTTTAAGCTCCAGTTGCCCACAGTGCTGATTTTTTCCTCCCTATTTTGTTCTTCCACTCCCCTATTCATGTTTCCTGACATTATGCTACAAATAAGTGACTTGTCCTAGAATCCTTATCTTAGTATCTACTTCTTGGAAAGCCCAAAAAATAAGACAATAGGTATAGTAGTCAAGGTTCTCCAGAGGAACAAAGCCAATAGGATACATATACAAATATATTAGGGGATTTATTATGGAAATTGGCTCACGTGATTTTGGAGCCTGAGATATGCCTCCATATACTATCCATATGCCACAATATGCCATCTAAAAGCTGAAAAACAAGGAATGCTGGTGGTATCATTTCAGTCTGAATCTGAACACCTGAGAATCAGAAGCTCCAGTGTCTGAGAACAAAAGGTGGATATCTCAACTCAAGAAAGAGAGAGATAATTTGTCTTTCCTTTGCCTTTTTGTTCTAGTTGGGCTTTCATTGGATTGGATGATACCCACCTACATTGGTGAAAGGATCTTCTTTACTCAATCTAATGATTCAAATGCTAATCTCTTTTGTAAACATTCGCACACCCAATTCCAACATGGGGCAGGGGAGTTTTCCCACACTACCAAGTAATTCTCAGATACCAACTGGGTGTTCTACAATTCAACTCAATTCTGACATTATCTACTTGGAGATATCAAATTCCACAGGTTAAGGACTCAGTCCTACAAGACTACTCTTATAACACATAGACATACACACACACACACACACACACACACACACACACACACTTCAGAACTCAGTTGCAAGTCCATGTTGTCACATGTACTTCTAACCAACAGGTATAGCAGAGGTTCCAATGACCTCCTCTTTGGGTTTGATTAATTTGCTAGAGCAGCTTACAAAACTCATAAAAACATTTTACTAACTAAGATTACCACTTTATTTTAAAAGCATATAACTCAGGAACAGCCAGATGGAAGAGATGCATATGACAAGGTGTGGAAAAGGACAGAAAATTCCATGTCCTCTAAGGGCATCATGCTGCCCAACCCAAAAGTTCTCTGAACCCTATGCTTCTAAGTTTGTATGAAAGCTTTATTACATAAACAAGTTAATGAAATCATTGGCCTTCACAATTGAACTTAATCTACAGCCCCTATCCCCTTCTGAGAGGTAAGAGAGGATATGACTAAAGGTTCCAACCCTCTAATAACATGGTTGATTCCTTTCTGCATTCTTAAGTGAATCCAAAGTAGTCACCTCATTAACATCACAAGAGACATCTTTGTTACTTGCATCAATTAGGAAGTTCCAATAGTTTTAGGAGCTCTGTACCAAAAACAGAGGCAAACACCAATATAAATACATATATTTGGTCTTTGTCCTTTTCTGGCACATGGCTAAAATTATAACATCACACAGATACACCTGAAAATAATGTTTTACCAAGTATCTGGGCATCTTTTAGTCCAGAGAAGTTGAAACATAAAATTAACCAACACAATAGGTAAGGCAGGTATAGAAGCAAATAATCATTAAAAAATGTGGTATGACCCATAGTAAATATATCTAGCACCATGATGGGAATCAAAAGTAGATACTACATTTACTGGTTCAATTACCTCTAATTTACTCGGCACCGTTTTGTGGGCTCCCAAATGGTATATATATAAATAAGGCACTAAGGCACTTTCCAAGATATTTATAGTAATGTAAATTACTAACTGGTGACAGAGAAATCACTTTTTGCTTAGGAAGAGATAGAATGGAATGAGTGGAAAGAAGAGGGGATAAGGAGAAAGTAAGTATGGAAAAGAGGAAATAATGGAGGCTGAAAAATGTTACTGAGTGCAGACAACTTTGGAAGTGTACTTTGTGCCATGACTAATTTTTTCATAAAGAAACATGGTGACTCAGAATCTCAGAAAAAGGGCAGAAAGTTGAAAGGCCCAGAGTCACACCAAATGGCATGGTGATATAAGGGCAGCAGGTCAGTATGCTGAGAACATAGCATTAATGTGGGAGACCTGAGGAGGGTAACAGGAAAGGTATATTGGGGCAGGATCATGTAGACCCTTGCATACTACTTAAGAGTGTGGACTGCATCCTATGAACAATAACAATCTACCTACCTTAGGATTCCAATTGACATGCCCTTCTATCCTTCATAGTCTGAAGAAAGTCACTTTTGTACAAGCTGCCCTTGGTAGTGTGTCTTAGGTTCAATGGTCTCTAGAGAACTAGTGCAAAACTTCTGAATGCATTTGAGGATATGAGGTCTTTATTATATGCTACTTTTGGTTACAAGACTACCAAGTGTTTAAGGGTGCCTGGGTGGTTCAGTTGGTTGAGCATCCAACTTCGGCTCAGGTCATGATCTCATGGTCCATGAGTCCTAGCCCCGCATTGGGCTCAGAGCCTGGATCCTGCTTTGGATTCTGTGTCTCCTTCTCTCTCTGCCCTTTCCCCAGTCACTCTCTGTCTCTCTCTTAAAAATAAATAAAAATTTAAAAAAAGAGAAGAGTACCAAGTGTTTAAACTACAAAGGATCATAGGGCACGATGATTCCTACAAAAGAAATATCTACCTAGGACTTAGCAGAAACAAGACTGAGATACATATATCATAAATCCTAACCTCTTTTCAGTACACTAAATTTTTCCCTAACAAAACTATTTCAGTTAAAATAATTGTTTAAACTATGTTGTGTGTGGTGGTGTTTCTGAATACAGAGAATAACAAGCATTTTATTTCAAAACTCAACTCTCACAAATGAAACAAGGTTGGTCACATGTTGATAATAACTGATGATGGCTATGTGTACATGGGAGTTCATTATACTCTTCTATCTTGGTATATGTTTCAAATTATTCACAAAAAATGAAAAATTAAACAATCTCATAAAGAATGATAATTAGTTATCTGTAGCAGATTCTGTCAAGGTAGCTTTGTGGGTCTGGTATTCCAAGCCTCGTCGCTGCTCTCCTGTGCACCCTTCTTCAGAGTATTGCCTTTCTTTAGTTTACTACTTTGGGAGCCATCTTACCTGGCTATCCCTGAGAGGCTTTTCCCATTCCACCCTCAGCGGTGTTCATAGCTAATGACTGATTGGCAGGAAGAAAGTAGCAATAATAACTCTCTTATCTCTGGGCGAGAAAACCTTGGGTGCAACTCACATTTCAGGGCTGCCCATGGAATCAGTCTGAGGCTAGACTTCTCCAGTGGCCCCATCTCTGTCTGGCCTCTTCCTCTGTTCTATACTATATTCCTCATAATTCTCAAAGTTTCTCCTGAGAATACCTGCATGGTATATCATTTGCCAAATAATTTTTGTCTTAGATTCGTCTGGGGAACTCTGCCTTAAACAATTTTATTTTAAAGTTGATGTGGGGCGCCTGGGTGGCTTAGTCGGTTAAGCTTCCGACTTTCGCTTGGGTCATGATCTCGCGGTTCGTGGGTTCGTGCCCCGTTTCGGGCTTTGTGCTGTCTGCCAGCTCTGAGCCTGGAGCCTGTTTCTGTCTGTGACTCCCTCTCTCTCTGACCCTCCCCTGCTCATGCTGTCTCTATCTCTCTCCTAGAAATAAATAAAACATTAAAAAAAAAAAAATTTAAAAAAAAAATAAATAAAGTTGATGGGAATTAATCTGTTAATTAGAGCATTAGACCTTTTACAGCATTAGCATTAGGTCAGCTATCAGACTGATGCTGTGTTCTCTTATCTGTGTCAATCAATTCTGTGAACATTGCTTTCCTTTGAATAATGAGAAAATTATTTCCCAGTCTATACAATATGATATTTTGAGGAGCAAATCAGATTGTGTACATGAAAACACTTTTGGATATGGAAAGTTCTATACAATATGATTATATTCCTTAGCTATTTTTATTATCTTCAAAAAGTTGCAAATTGTCTGACATCTAGTTATTAATACATTACTGCATTCTATAAATTATTTTAAGTCAAACAGAAACTTGCTGTAATATGCCTCATAACTAGACTGAATTTTCTTGGTTACTTCAAGCCTTTCATTTCTGCCTGTGTTTTCCCTGACAAGACACTGACACTAGACCTAAAATTGAACCTCTGATGGAAATGTAGTCCCATTTTATCTATAAAGGGAGCACATTTTCATTTTTCTTTCCAGGAGTGAAGAAATGTTTGGTAAATTGAATGTTAACATCTTACAACTTGTATGAAGGGAAAACAAAACAAACCAGGAAGAACCTAGTTAGTTATATGCTGTAATAATAATGTCCATCATAGAACATGAGCTTTCTTTTCCAGAATGTTGACTGAAAAGACAGATACTTATTACTCTACAAGTAATAATCCAGCAATAGAAGTACTCACATAACAAAGACGGTAATGCCTGACTAAAGGTAATTGCTGCAAGGTTGAAACAGTGCATGAAATATAACCTGAATGAAAACAGTAGAAGGAAGAATCTATGCTTATGTTGAGTCCCTACTGCTCAGAGCATCACTTTTTTAAAAAAAAGAGTGTCATTGAATTGTTTCATTCAAGGACCCATTAATCTAGCATAATGTTCTTTTCTCAGAAATATTGTTTGGGGAAAAGAAAAAAAGGCTGTTCATAATTAGTATTTTCCTCCTTCTCTCTTTCTTTATATGCATAGTTTAAAAAAACTATTACCCTTATTTACAATTACTATCTTAATAGGTATATCTTTCACGTATGGCTTTTCTGAAATATGTGTGGAATTACTTTAAAATATCCAAAACAGAATCCAAATTATACATTCTCCCTCTCTTGTGATACATCTGAAAAAAAATCACTCAAAAGCAATATCTAGTGATCTTCTGTGGCTGGAAAGTAGGACATATTAGTTAGGTGCCAATATAGCTTAAAGTAATACATTTCATGAAATATATAAATATTGTGTTTTATTTTGTTTTCTATTGTAGTTCTCAGCAGAGCAACACAGATAAAAGATAAAGGGCCAGAAATGATTTCCTCATGTTTCCCATGGAAACTGACTTCTCAATGGGGAAAATTTAAATATTGATGATTCCCAAAAGTATACTGAGCATATGGAAAGAAATATAAGAGTTCATTGTTTTGAAAATCTGCTTTGCATACTGAAGTGGCTTGATTTAAATAAACATTTGAAGTTTGAGCAAGAACGAAAATTAGCATAGGCAATGGTATAGCATAGCAATTTCTAGGAGGATGCCTGTAAAATTTTTTGGAAGGTTGCTTATAAGATGTTATTAAGTATAGATAATTGGCCAGATGGAAGTGTGTGTGAGTGTGTGTGTGTGTGTGTGTGTGTGTGAGAGAGAGAGAGAGAGAGAGAGAGAGACAGAGAGAGAAAGAGAGACTCAATCTCAAACTATTTTATTTTCCAATCCAACTAAGGTATCAAGACTGAATTTATCTCAAACTATTATTTTTTTCTAAAGGAATTATTGAAATGCCTTGCTTCCTTTGGTTATAGATAAAATAGTTTATTACTGAAATAAAAGGTGTTTTCTTAAGTGAATGAAAATAGGTGGAATATGGGTAGGGAATGAGAATAATATTCCATTGCTGATGAAATAGAACCATCTGAACAAGGTTAGGTGTGGTTTTGAAAGTGGCTGTTTCCACAGGCTCATAGTTAAAGACTGGCTTTAAGCAAAAGCAAAGATCTTCTAGACACAAACATTTAAAGGCAGTGTCTTCCAGTGTCTCAGTGCACAAACCCCTACATAGCCACAAGCCCATGTCCATGTGCCCAAAATAAGAAAACCCTCTATAGGCACTGTGCTTGCTGTTTATTTCTCAAATGAGCTGCTACTTTTTTTTACCATTTACTCTGTCATCAACCTGGAGGCTTACTCTAACACACTGAGCAAGTCTTTGCTCTTCCTCCAGCCCAATTAGGGAATGGAAAAAAATTTAAAGGAAAGATAATGTAAAATGTTACATTTAAAGCTCTGGGATTTTTATCTTTGCAGTTGTACTCCTCCCAAATGAAATCATAATGAATCAAGTTAAGAATGTTAGTGTCATTTTTAAGAAAACAGAGAAATGCAAAAAGAGAAATTTTAACCCCAGCAGATTCTTTATTCAGAATATTTTCCAGCCTTTGAACACTTTCTATGGTAGACCTGACGTCAATTTTTCATTAGTTCATTTCCAAACTGAAGTCACCAAGGCATGCCTGAGTAAGATCTGTGATTGTTTCATTGGTGATTAGGTAATGCTGTGACAAATTTGTTATCTGAAGTACTATTGATTAATACACTAATGATATATTCATTCAACTTTCTCCTAAGGACTTAATAAAATTTATATTAAAATTTTATACTTTATAGATATTAGAAGTCTTAAAGACTTTCAGACTTCTGCTTCTGGGAAGATGAAGTAGATATACTTTCCTATTTCTTCTGCAAAGTACAACTAAGAACATTGGATATTATATATAAAACACATGACTCTGAAAGTTGAAGAAGAGAAAGCAGAATATTCAGGAGTGGGGGTATGGTGAGTTCCTTGTGTTTCTTTTTTGTCTCATATATACCAGATTTGCAGCTGAAGAAGCTGATAACCCAGAAACACCAATGGGTACAGGCAAAATAAATAAACAAAAATCAATGAAAACTACTCTCTCAGCCAAAGGGCAAGGTAAGAAGCAACATAACAAAGGAGCCCGTTTCAGCCCTGGAGCCTGTTTCAGATTCTGTGTCTCCCTCTCTCTCTGACCCTCCCCTGCTCATGCTGTCTCTCCTTCTCTCTCAGAAATAAATAAAATATTTTTTTTAAAAAAGAAAATATCCTTCAGAAATGAAGGGGAAATCAAGAAATTCTCAGATAAGGAAAAACTAAGAATTTGTTTCAACAAATCTAAACAAAAAGAATGAATATAGTAAGTTATCCAAACAAAAGAGGAAATGATAAGAGGCCTTAGAACATCAGGAAAGAAGAAAACACAGTAAGCAAAATTATGAGTAAATGAAGAAGACTTTTTCTTCATGAATTTTCTAAATTGTTCAATAATTGAAGTGAAAATTATAATACCATCTGATGTAGCTCTAAATTAACATAGAGGAAATGATTAAGACAATTATAAATGGACAGGGTAAAGGAATACAATGTCAGGAATAGTTCCTATACCTCACTTAAACCGGTAAAATAGCAACTGTAGACTGTGTTATTTATATATAATGTTATACACAGAGTAACCACTTAAATAAAACTACATGAAGCAATTCACTAAGAAAACAATATAGATATATCAAAATAATTATAAAATGTATTTAAATAACCTGCAGGAAAGCAGGCAAACAAACAAAAAAGAGAAACAAAAATCTAAGAGAATGAACAGAAAACAAAAATAAAAACCCATAAGAGACTTCTGAGGAAAATGGCAGAGTAGGAGGATGCAGGTTTATCTTGTCTCACAGATACAATGAGACAACACCCGCATCAGTGCAAATAACCAACAAAATGTACTGAAGACTGGCAGAAAAGACTCTCCACAGCTAAATTCAGAGAAGAGATTGTGTCAAAGAGGGTAGAAAGGGCCTGGATACAGTCAGAAGTCAAACAGACCAGTGGGACTATATGTAGGAGGGAGAGGTATCATGGCCGTGAAGAGGGGAGAGAAGTAGACCCCCACAGAAGGCACCTCAGACATGGGAGAACAGCACTGGGAATACAAATCCCTGTAATATTTGGCTTTGAAAACTAGAAGGACCTAACTTTGTGAGTTCTTACAATCAGTGAGAGTTAACACCTGGAACTTAAAAGTCAGTGGCTTCGCTCAGAGAGAACCTGGAGGGCAATAAGAAACTGAGTCCTAGGGGCGCCTGGGTGGCTTAGTCGGTTAAGCGTCCGACTTTCGCTTAGGTCATGATCTCGCGGTTCGTGGGTTCGAGCCCCGCGTCGGGCTCTGTGCTGACTGCCAGCTCAGAGCCTGGAGCCTGTTTCAATCTGTAACTCCCTCTCTCTCTGACCCTCCCCTGCTCACGCTGTCTCTCTCTCTCCTAGAAATAAATAAAAATATTTAAAAAAAAAAAAAAAAAGAAACTGAGTCCTTGCCCTTAAAAAGATAGCATAATAAACAGTCTCCCTGAGACACAGCATAGAAGTAACAGTTTGGAAAATACCTGGGATATACAGGAAAGAGACTTATTTACTAATTTCAGAGCATATGCTAGAAGGGTAGGGATCTTTTGGAGGCTTCCTCAAGAAAAAAAGAGCTAGTCGGTGCTATTTCCCTCCACCACCCTCACCCTCACCTAGAAATACCAGTAGCTATGGGAACCAGCACAACACAAACACTCTCCACCTAGCTTCCTAACAGTGCAACATGCCCTCTCCTCCTCTTCACGGTAGCTCCTGTGGCTTTACCCTCATAACATGGTTGGCCTCAGCAGGAGATTTTCTGGTAAGCGGCAGCTCCCTTCCCACAGCAGACCTTTATGGACTTTGCTGGCATCACACACCCATCCCCTATATTCTCCTGTGGATCTACCCTCTCCAATAAGCCCTTCACAGAGCCCATCCAAACTGGTACTATAAGCCTGGCAGTGTGCAAATAGCACCAAAAGAGGTCAGCACCACTCCGAAGTGACTCCTGTCCCAGAGAGAGAGGAAGATAACCACACACATCAGTTTGACTTGGCCTCAGCAGTGGGCTGAGGGTAGACATCTAGTCTAACTGTAAGACCCACTCACAAATAAAAGCTTCTCAGGGACAGCACAGGGAAAGCTTTCTGCAGTTCAGTGTTACTATAACCCTGGTGAATGCACTATCTGACTCAATTCAAGCCCAAGGTGGTCTCAGACCACCCTACTAACAACACAGGGATCAAACCCTGCCCATAGCAGGCAAAGAGAGCCATTGAAGATGACTGGAATGAAATGCAGTTCAGCCACAAGTATGGCATGCAACACACATAGGAGACACCCCTGAAGCATCAGATTTGAGTGAACGGGGGTCACTGCACAGTAGGGCAACTACAAGACCTCTTCTTCATAAGACCACTCTTTCAAAAGCAGGAGACATAGCTGACTTTCCTAACATGGAAACAGACACAGAAGTCTAGTCAAAATGAGGAGACAGAGGAATATGTCCCAAATAAAAGAATAGTACAAAATCATAGAAAGAGAGTTAAATGAGACACATAAGTAAGATGCCTGATAGGAAATTTAAAATAATGGTCATAAAGTTATTCAATGGAGTTGAGAAGAAGGAAGACCTCAGCAAAACCCTCAACAAAGATACAGAAAACATAAAAAAAGAACCAATCAGAGATGAAGAACTCAGTACCTAAAATAAAAAAATACACCATTGGAATAAATAGTAGACTAGAGGAAGCAGAAGAACAGATAAGCAACCTGGAGGACATATAATGGAAAGCAATCAAGAGGAATGAGAGTAAAATAAAAATAAAAAACAAAAATGTACCAAGGGATGTACCAATCCCAGCAACATCATTATCTGGGATTCCAGAAGAATAAGAGAAAGAAGGGAGCAGAAAAATTGGTGGAAGAAATAATTGATAAAAACTTCCCAAATCCAGGGAAGGAAATAGAAATTTAGATCCAGGAGGCATAGAAAGCTCCCAACAACTTCAACCCAAGGAGGGTCACACCAAGACACATAGTAAATGAAATGACAAAAAAAGAAATTTAAAAGCAGGAACAGAAAAGAAATCAGTTAAATATAAGGGAAACTCCATAAGGTTATTGGTGAATTTTTCAGCAGAAACTTGGCAGGCCAAAAGTGAGTGGCATGATATATCAAAGTGCTGAAAGAAAAAAAAACCCCTATAACCAAGAATACTCTATCTAGAAATGCTACCATTCAGAATAAAAGAAATAAATAGCTTCCCAGAAAAAAAAGTTAAAAGAACTCATGACTATTAGACCAGTCTTTAAAAAAATGTTAAAGGGGACTTTTTGAATGTAGTGAAAGACCATAAAAAAGAATAAGGAAAGTAGGAAACAAAAAAGCAGTAAAATTAAGTATATCTATAAAAATTAGCCAAAAGATTCACAGTATAACACCGTATACCTAAAACATGTGGATCGGAGAGAAAAAAGGGAAGAGTCCAAATTTAAGGGACTATCCAGCTAATAGAGACTGTTATATGCATAATGTATTAAATATAAACCTAATGATAGTCAGAAATAATAAACTAATAATAGATACACAAAAAAATAAATAAATAAAGAGAAGAATCCCAGTATATCACTAAAGAAAGTCAACAAACTGTGAGAAAGCAAGAGAAGAAAGGAGTAGAAAAGAACTGCAAAAACAACCATAAAACAAGTAACAAAAAGGCATTAAGGACACGCCTATCAATAATTACTTTGAATGTAAATAGACTAAACACTCCAATCAAAAGATATTGGGTTACGGAATGGACAAGAAAGTAAGACCCATCTATATGCAAAAGACTCATTTCAGACCTAAAGACACATTAAAAGTAGAGGAATGGAAAAGCATTTATCATGCAAATGGAAGTGAGATAAAGACAGAGTATGCTTATATTGGCGAAAATAGATTTAAAATAGAAACTTTAACAAGAGACAAAGAGGGACAGTGTATAATCATAAAGAGAACAATCCAACAAGAAGATATAACAATTGTATGTGTGTGTGTGTGTGTGTCCAATATGGAAGCACCCAAATACATAAAGTAGCTAATACAAACATAAAGGAAGTAATCAATAGTAATGCAATAGTGGTATGGGACTTTAATTCTTCATTTACATCAGTGGATAGATTACCCTAAGAAAAATATCAACAAGGAAACAGTGGCTTTGAATGACTTATTTGACCCAATGGATATAACAGATATGTTAAGAACATTCCATTCTAAAACAGCAAAATACATTATTTTTTTCAAGTGCACATGGAAGATTCTCCAAAATAGATCATATGTTAGGCCACCAAACAGGTCTTAACAAATTCAAAAAGACTGCAATCATATAATCAATCTATTCCAACCATAAAACCAAGAAGCTAGAAATTAACCAGAAGAAAAAATCTGGAAAGAACAAAATATATGGATGTTGAATAACGCTAATAAACAATGAATGGGTCAACCAAGAAATCAAAGAGTAAATAAAAATATACATGGAGATAAATGAAAATGCAAACATAGTGGTTCAAAATCTCTAGGATGCATAAAAAACTGTTTTAAGAGGGAAGTTTAAAACAATACAAGCCTATCTCATAAAGCAAGAAAAATCTCAAACAACCTAGCCTTAAACCTAACAATTAAAAAAAGAAGAATAAACAAAACACAAATCTTAGTAGAAGAAAGGAAATAAATATTATAGCAGAAATAAATGAAATAGACACTAAAATATAATAAAACAGATCAATGAACCCAGGAACTGGTTCTCTGAGAAGATTAACAAAATTTATAGGACTTTAACTGGATCAAAAAAAAGAGAGAGGGAGAGAGAACTCAAATAAACAAAATGAAAAGTGAAAGAGGAGAAATAGTAACTGACAACACAGA